TCTCTCTCTCTCTCTCTCTCTCTCTCTCTCTCTCTCTCTCTCTCTCTGTGTGTGTGTGTGTGTGTGTGTGTGTGTTCGTAGGTGTGTGTGTGTCTGTGTCTGTGTGTGTGTTTATGTGTGTGTGTGTGTGTCTGTGTGAATGTGTGTTGGGCATATACAGCGGAAGTCAGAAGTCAACGTTAGGTGCCCTTTCTCAGATGTTGTACATTCATTTTAAGAAACCTTCTCTCATTAGCCTGAAACTCATACAGAAGACTGGACTAATTTGTTGATCGACTGGGAAATCAATAAATAAGCCATGGAATAAATGGGTAGAAACTTGTATTCAGAAATAGTACACACAGTTAAATTTCTAACATATACTGTATAAAGGCAGCTTTACACAAATACCTTCATACTTCAGTGAGTACATTATTGAATTCATGAGGTTCTCAACTATAAACTATAGAAAAAATCAAGATAATTATTATCCTGTGGTGGCATGTGCCTGGTAATGATCCAGTTAGACTCTCTGAGGTGGAGGTAAAGAGGAATTGCTGTTTCAGAATATGATTCTATCAACACTCAGCTAGAGAAAATCAAATGTAATTTATCTTTTGTCAAAAGTTCATCAAAGTGATAAAACACTATTAACAAATATTAACATCTAGCTGGTAATATGCAGGTTGGAGTTTTTTCAAGCACATTTATTTCAATAATTATGAAATAAATAAAAAAGAATATGGTTCAATGGAAAAATAACTTGCTATATAAGTATAAGGACCTGAGTTCAGATTCCTAGAACCCATAGGAAGCCAGATATGTTAAATTAATGTCTATAATCATTGCACTTCTACAGTAACATGGAAAGAAAACAGAACAGTCTCCAGACACTTGAAAGCCAGGTGGCTTGGTGTACTCAGCAAAGAATGGCAAGTGATCACATCACAAAGTAAAAGATGAGAATCAATACCAAAGGTTTTTCTCTGACCACATTCATGCTTTTACAAATGCACAGTCACAGCCACATTAACTACAGTACACACATACACACACACACACACACACACACACACACACACACACACACGTGCGAGATAAGAGGAATTAACCAACCTAAAATAACTAATAATAAGTAGCTGGATATGGAAAATGTAAAACATTGCACTAGTTTTATGATGTGTTGTATAATTTTTGTAACATTGTGTTAGAAAAAACCTCTGAATCTACAGGTTTTCTGGAGCTAGCATGTGGGTTTTAGTTGTACCTGTTATCTAGGGCATTTCAGGGGTCAGAGTAAGAAGAGTGATTATAGTTAAGTTGATAGTGCCCATACCTAGCCCTCGTACATAGCAATCAGGAAGGACTAGTTTCAACCCCAGCATTGACTGTATAAATTGTGCATATCTACATCTCAAAACTCCTTGAGTAGAATCTGGAATATCAGGAATTCAAGGTCATGCATAAGAGACTAGTCTGATCTGTCAATCTACATGAGACCCTGTCTTATTTAAAAACAGAAAAGGAGGAGGAGGAAAATGAAGGGACGCAAGTAAGAAGGAAGGAAGGAAGAAATGAAGAAAGAGGAGAAGAAAGAAACCAAGGTGAAAGAAGGATCTACTAGATTATGGAGTTCTCATTCCTGCTCACCAAATCTCATAGAACTCTAAATACCTCATCCTACTTGCAAAATATCATCTAAGTTCCTACACAATTTGATGAGCAAATAAGCACCATCCCATTTTCCACTGTCATTTGAAGCTTAAAAAATATTTTCCAAGGATGATCCGTTTAAGTGCAATAGATCTGAGCTGTCTTCTAAGATACAGAACATGGCAGTGTCTTTAAATGAAGCCAGCCCAATCTCTGGCTTGTGAAATTGTTCAGTCACAATCATCCTCCTGTGGCTAAATAAATACCTGAAGCTTGTGTGTTATCCCCACCAAGCATTTCTGTGCCTGCTGTTTCAGCAACATAGCTTCAGGCACATTGTTATACACCGGATTTGTGAAAGGAAATGCAACCATCCTAACACATTCTCAGTGATACAAAATGGAGGGAGATGAATGGTTGGTGTGCGTCTCATCTCATCATATTCAATGCACACTTGTATGAATTCTTAAAGAATACACATTATGAAAAAGGAAGCACATTTGTCTACAACATGATTCCTGCACCTAAGGCTCTGGGAAGACCATAGAAGAGAGATAGAAAAGTTTTAAGAGCCCAAAGAGATCTAACATGAGACTATATCTCTGAGACACAACAGGGAAGTTGCACCCATGATATTTCAACAATATGGCAGTAAATAAGACTAGAACAAAAGCAACACCAATAGATAAATCAAGTCAGAAGGAGGAATTATATGCAGTCTCAACCCTAGGCTAAAATAATTTTACCTAGGGGAAAGCACCCTGGTGTAGGAGGTTTTTTTTTTTTTATTTGTGTATTGTTTTCATTGGTTGAATAAAGAGACTGCCTTGGCCTTTTGATTGGGCAGCCCTTAGGTGGGCAGAGTAGACAGAATAGGATGCTGGGAAGAAGGCAGACAGAGAGCTGCCTGCCATGAAGCTGCCAGTTCAGACATGCTGAATCTTTCCGGGTAAGCCATGACCTCATGGTTCTACATAGATTGTTAGAAATGGGTTAAATCAAGATGTAAAAATTAGCCAAAAAGAGGCTATATATAATGGGCCAAGCAGTGCTTAAGTGAATATAATTTGTGTGTTGTTATTTCGGGGTATAAGCTAGTTGGATAGTGGGACATAGCCCGCTGCTCCTCCTTACTACAGCTCCCCTCCACACACAATTGGATATCTGATGCCAAGTGGTCAATACTGAACTCAAACATACAAATACCATTGTATAGGTTGAATAGATTGTATTTATATATGTAGAAATGTACATATTCACATATATATTCTTTCTGAAGAAAAAGAAAATGAAATTGAGAGAGAAAGGGGGTACATAGGAGAGGCTGAAAGGAAAAAGGGAAAGGGTAAATGATGTAAATAGATAATTTAATCAATTTTTTAAAATTGCAAAAAATTTCAAATTCATCATATATTTTAATATGAAATATATTAAGAATTGTAAGACAAAAAACAACAAAATTTGTATACATTACTAACATAAATAATTTATTAAGCAAAAGTTCTCGTTACGGACATTACTTACAAGATAAAGTCTTTCTCTATTTGTATAGTAAATCTGAATGCTGATGGCCCAGGAAACATTTATGTGTTTGTTTTCCAACAGTTTCCACATTGGGTTATAATCATTTGCATAGAAACTTCTTGTGAAACTATGAGACCCTGAAGTAAGCCCTAAACATTTTAATTATATATTTTAATTAGGCACCAGTGAAAGAGAGAGATTTCCAAATTAACTGGCTAATAAATGAATGATGAATATAAGAGTAAATTTAGGGTTATTTCCTATTGAGAGGACTGTCATATGCTGTATCTTAAGATAGTGCAGCCCTTAGGAATATTTTATATGAAAATAAATCACAAAGTTAACTCAAATTGGTTAAAGATGTGTGTAATGAAAATCTCAGAGCCAAAATATTCTGACGACCCATGACCCTGACTTCTATTAATCTAAGCATTCTTATATCACAGTATTATCTGTCATTCTTTTTTTTGTTTTTCTTTTTTTTAGAAGTGAATAGGATCAAAATACATTATGTGTAACTATGAAAATGTCATCGCTCTGTGAGTTCAAGGCCAGCCTGGTCTACAGAGAGTTCCAGGACAGCAGACGCTAGAGAGAAACCCTGTCTTGAAAATCAAACAAAAAGAAAGAAAATGTCATTGTTAAACCTATTTTTTATATGCCAACAAATACATTTTCCCTTTTTCAGAATCTCATGTGGCCCAGGCTGACCTCGACCTCCTGCCTCTATTTCCCAGATGTGCCTAGTGCTGGTTATTAAATTATTATATGATTATTATTATTATTTGCTTCTCAGCTCTGAATGCACCCTTTGCTTGATTCTCGTTAATGTGTAATTCAGCCTTAAGCAGGGATTTTTGCTTCAACCTCTCTCCCTGAAAAGAAACTTAAATGTGAAAACAGGGCTGTGAGACAGCCTCAACTGATGTGGGATATGTCACAAAGAGAAGTGAATGTCATTGTTGTGGGATATTTGTACACCGTGTGAAGGTATATTTCTGTGACTGGTGTTAATAGCTGGGCAGGAGGAAGAGGCAGGACTTTCCAGCAGAGAGGAGGAAGCAGGATGAGGTGCACAAGAGATACCAGGGGACATGGAAGAAGCAGGATGGGCAGCATGTGACAGAAGGAGGATTAATAGAAACGTATTAAGTTAGTAGAGCTAGCGAAGAGCAAGCCTCAGCCAAGACCAAGTTCTCACAGCGAACAGGTCTCTGTGTCGTCATCTGAGAGCTGGCGGTTGGACAGAGAAAGACTGGTTATCATTTGATACCAGAGAATTAAGATTAATTATTGATTTTGCTGACCATGACAATGGCACTGTTGCCACATCACCTCCGTTCCGTTCTACCCTGGGATCTGTTTTATTACTAAAATATTTACACTAAGATATAGTAGAGTTAGTAGCAACTTTCTTCAGAGTCCAAACGAATCACAGCCGTTTCGCCCGTGTTCTAAGCGGGTCAGTTCCTGACAACTGTGTCTCTATTTCACAGAAGATGTGTCCCCTTCAGTTGGTCCTGGCAACAGCCTCCTGGAGTTACTCCACTGCCTTCGTGAGGCTGCTTGTGTTGGCATCTGCGATGGTCGCTAGGTAAATGAGGTTTCTGTGCAACACATGCTGGTACTGGACGCACTCGTTCGCTCGGCCCTTGTTCTGATACTCCACGATACAGCGGATCAGCTGGTCATTCTCCTCCAGGAGCCGCTGGATGGTCTCTCGGTTGACCTTAGCCTTGCCACGAAGCCAGTCAGGGGCGAAGATGACTGACATGCTGCGAGTAAGCTCAAAATCCCGAGCCGGGAGCAGCACCGTCGCGAGCTACCTATCTGTCATTCTTTAAACATTTATTTCTACTTAAAGTGTGTAAGACTTTTGCCAGAATATGTCTCTGTACCATGTTCCTGCAGTACCTGTTGCAGCAAGAAGAGGGCATCAGATCTCTTGAAACTGGAATTACAGATGATTGGGAACTACCATGTGAGTGTTGGGTACTGAACCCTGTGTTCCTCATGAACATCAAGAGCTTTTTATCCACTTTCTTACTCCCTGTTCTTTACATTTTTGTCTTAGTCCCTGCCAAACATTCTACTGAGGGCCTAGTGAACATGTGTTATCGTTCTGATCAAGGACATAAAATATAAGTCTGTTCATGGGGCTAGTGAAATGACTTTTGCCCTGTAAGCCTGAGACCTAAAGTTCCAATCCCCAAGTGGGACCTTACAGAGCATGGGGAAGCAATTCCTACAGAACATGGTGGAGCTGTTCTTTACAGGAGCATGCAGGAGGGGTTCCTATAGAGATGGGAGAGGGTTTTTTTACAGGAGCATGGGAAAAGTGCTCCTACATAGCATGGGCAAAAGATTCTTTGCAAATCATAGGTAAAGGGTGTCCCATAGAGTATAAGTTTCTGTCCTGCCCAGATCCACAGTCATTCAGTTCCAAATACAACACAGAGGTTTATATTAATTATAAACTGTTTGATTTATTAGTTCAGTCTTATTATTAACCAGATCTTGTAATTTAAATTAACCCATAATTCTTGTCTATGTTTAGTCACATAGCTTGGTATCTTCTCTCAGTAAAGTAGTCTTGTTTTGCTTCCTTTGCATCTCACTAAGGACAGCAGCATCTCTGCCTTTTCTCATCCCAGAATTCTCTTAGTCTGGTTGCCCCACCTATACTTCTTGCCTTGCGACTGGCCAATCAACATTTTATTAAACCAATATGAGTCACAAATCTTTACAGTGTACAAGAGAATTTTTCCACAGCAGAGGAGCATGGAAGAGGGCTTCCTTACAGGAGCTTGTGTTTGGATTTCCTTATAGAGTGTGAGGGGAGTATTTACAGAGCATGAGCGAGGATCTACTTAGAGAGTGTGAGGGAGGGGTTCCTACAGAACATGGGCATGGTTAAGGGCTACCTGAAGAGCATGGGCAATGGTTTTCTGGCAGATCATGGGGGAAGGGGTCCTACAGAGCATGGAGAAGGGGTTCTTTACAGTGCAATGGGGGGTTCCTTATAAAGCAAGGGGGAGGAGTTCCTTACAGACAATGTGTGTGAAGTTCCTTATAAACTCATCATTGACGGGCACTTGTAGAAGCATGGGTGAGGAGACACAGAAGAACTGGTGACTGCGAAACAGCTGTATCACTGAGATTATTAGTCTAGCAAGATCACAAAAGATTAGCTGCGTCAGTAAGTCCTATCTCCAGGTAACCTTCTACCTGGTATCCTACCTCCTACACAAGTTAGCATCTCACACGATTTCATGCTGCTAGAAGAATGGAAGGTGTGGTGGAAGAGTCCTGGGTTAGAATTGGGTGACACCGGTCTTCTACTCAGCAGTTATTAATGGCTACATTCCTGTTCCTGCAGACTTAGCTGTCACTGTGTTTCCTTATTTAATGTCTGTGACTATGATGCCAGGGTTGCTTCAGCACCATGATGACAACTCTATAAGGATAACTATATATGAGAATGTTCAGTACTGTAGCAAAGCATTGATGATCAAGGCACACCATGCACGTTATCTCTTATTTAGAGCTGGTGTTTTCTACTAGAAGAAAGTAGCGCATGGGAATATTTGAAACACAAAGTGTACATGCTCATAAAGATTATGTTTTAGTATATATATATATATATTACTTTTGATGTATTTCTTTTCTTTTCTGAAATTGTTTAGCTCCTGATTCTATTTTCAAGGCTACTTGACTCTAGAAGTCTACCCATACAGTCTGGGACATTGAGCTCTTTTATTTCCCTTTTATGATATTGAGCAAAAATTCTGGCAGGATAATGATTGAGGAGGGAAATAAAGCTCATGAGAGCTATTATTTCAGGATGGACAAGTTCTCTTTGCAGAGAACATTCTTTGAAAGAGAATTTCAGCAAAACTATTTGTCTTCATTAAACATTATCTGGTGAAAATTCTGAATTTGGTTATTCTTAAGTATTTCTACAATGAGAACCTTAAGTAGAAATGTGATTTATTTTGACATGCTACTGTGATTTGCTGTTATAGATTTCAAACATATTTCAGACTCCTCATGGATCCAGACAGAGACCCTAGAATTTCCCATTCTTCCTGGCTCCAGCTGTTTGAATCGCTCAGAGAAACAAATGCAGAGAATAAACCCCAAGATCACACCATTAGCTAGATCAACCGACACATTGGTGAATGAATACATCACTGCTCAATCGTGCTTTAATATGCTGTGTTAGAATGTACTGTTACACAGTAACACTTTAAAAGGTGGTTCTACAGTCAATAGCAAAAATAATATTCTCATAGTTAACTGAAGTTTCTGGATACCAAAATTATACTGTCATATGTTTAAAATGTATGTAGGCAATTTATCTGATGTCAAAGCAATTTATTGGAGAAAGAAACTATTTCTCAACTACAGATCAAAATTATTAAGTGGTACATTTTCACATCTTCCCCTCATTTTTACCAGTAAATTTCCCATTCTTAGAACTAAGCTACAATGCTTCTCAGTGTTGCCCCCTTTCTTACTTACCCATGCACAACTGAAGAGTTATTGTCTGAGGTTTTGGCTCTTGAAAGTAACCACTCCATGGGAGCAGGAATCTTTCTCTTGTATGTTCATTAAATTATCATAAAATCTAGGAACAGTGTAAACTCTAAACTCACACTGACAAAATATATACCCTAGACACTTTAAAATTGGAAACTAAAAACAGCTTTAATGTGTTATTAGTGTTCAAAGGCCTATCAAAACCAATACTTGGCAAAGACATAAAGAATTGGGTACTTCAAGAACTAAAGGTGTTTGAATACATCAATACCATGGATTTAGTTTTCATCATTTCGATAGTAGATAAGATGAGGCATCTAAAATCATATTTGTTTTACAATAATATCATTACAAATCTTGTCCAAATGAGAAAAAACAACTACAACCCATCTTCCTTTCTTTCCCTCTGGTGTAATAAAAATACACAGATAAAGGCAACTTATGGGAGAAAGGATATATTGTGGCTCACAGTTCCAGGTGCAATGTGACTGGGAAGTTGTTCTTGCAGGAAGTTGGAGCAACTAGGCACATTGCATCAACAGTCATGAAACAGAAAACAATGAGCACTTATAGTGGCCAACACATTTTTGCCATGTAAACAGCCCAAGATCCTTTGTTCAGGGACTAGTCTGGTCTTCACACAGTACAGTCATCATGGCTCCCCCTACATCAACTAATATATTCAAGATAACCTTTCATAGGCACAGTCAGAAGTTGTCTCTTGGGAGCATGTAGATTTTGTCAAGTCATTACTACTATCAAACACAATGCAAATAGAAATAAACAAATAATTAAAAGCATGTTCAGAGTGATACCATTTATTTCAGTTAAAAACAGATTTTAAGTAAGACATTTAACCACATACATAAGTATTACATATTTAGCTGCTGTATATAACACACACACACACAGTCATCACTTCATACATTAATAAAAGGTGTCAGGTAGTGCATTGCTCAGAGTAATACAGACAAACATGAAAACACAGGCAGTACCCACAGGCAGATAGAAATTGATAAGGAAAAAGTCTTCAAGGATATATATCGGTTTCTATGTTTTCAGTCACAAAAAGGGTGAGGTTACTTTTAAATTGCTAATGACATATCCTAGAGCCACACTTGAGGATTGTTTCAGGGAGGGATTGTCTAGACCAATTTGACCTATGGATGTGCCTACGGGGATTGTCCTCATTGTCTTCCAGCCTGAATTCAAAAGGAGCCTTCTGGAGGTGGCCCAGATAGGAGGGCCCTAAAGAAAGAAGCTTGGATTCTCTGATGTTCACCTTTGAATTTCCCTGGCAAGTTCATCTAATCTGTTGCTGATAATGATGATGATTCCTTCATGAATATCAGAATTAACATCTTTGGCATCTTTGGGTTCCCAACATGAACTGAAATCTCTCCAGACATCTTCCAGGCCATCACACTGCAGAGAGATCCAGTCTCCTAGACTGAGCAACTACAGTATTTTGCCTCTCTGCTGTGGGACAGTCACTGTTGGACTACTGGGATCTCGCTGTGTAAGCTAACCTGATAAATCCTCTTCAACACATGTCCATTATATTAATTTTGTTTCTGCAGAGAACCATAATACGGAAACTATTCATATCAATTACGATTTTTATCAAAAGTGAAAAATTTAACAATTTTTGAATCTAGCCAGCAGGCCTTTGATGATTTGTACTTTCTTTTATTTATATTTAAAATATGTAACAAAACTGACCTAATCTCCAACTTTCCAGACATACTTGCAGGCTTTCACCAAAATGCGGAGTGGCTGCACTAGAGACATGCTCAGTGCTAACTGCTTGCTTAACATGCTTGAAAGCCTTTGTTTAATCTATAAAACCGAAATTTAAAAGTGATTTATATAAATGTAGGCAGAGGTGTATTTTGACAAACTATAAAGTTCTCCACTGAATCTTTCCAGCAGAACCGTAACAAGAATTGGCATGAAGGAGTTAAAATGACCCTTCATTTCTTAATCAGGTTTTGCCAAGGTGCCACACAAGAGAAAATCTCCTTGGGGAGAGGCACAGGACCAGTAGTGAGAAGGAATGGTCTCCAGTGATTTGAAGAAGCTGCATGTTGGAAGGCTAGCAAGGGAGGCCAGGATTCCTTGCTGATCCGCCAGAATAGAAGAAGGTGCAGGTGAGCAGGCTGGCAGAGAGAGAGGGCAGAAAGCCTTGCGCGCTCTGCTACTGTGGCGATTCCATGGCTGATGTTCCACCCAAGAGCCTCCCTCCCT